ACTCGCTTTCTCGAGGTCCTGCCACCTGAAAAGTAAGGCCACAAACCGGCCGGCGTAATGCAAACAAGACAAAAGAAATAGTTAATGTAAAGAAAGTCAATCCGTCTGCCCGGTGTAGATGGTTTCCCGTAGTCCCCGCGGGCGCAGAGTGTCCCCTTCTTTCTCTGCAATGCACCTTCCACTTCTTCACTTCTCTACCTCCACTTCTTCATCCAGCTCCCCGAGTCACCGAGTCCCTGTATCACCAGGACTGCCAGGTCTACTTGCTGCATCACTCCGGCAGGTCGAACACGAATAGGTTCGGGTCATGGCGCCATGCCTCTTCGTCTTCGTCGGCAGCGTACGTTGTTCTCCATGTGCGTTGGTGTGAGGTGACCTCGGCGGACCTGGCGCCCGGCCACTGTGATGATGTGTTCCCTGTTTCTCCAACATTCGCAGTGTCTTGGGTTGGTTTCGGTTTTGAATCCTCCTCCCCTGCTCCTTACCCATGGCGACCGAGTCCACTGACTGAAACTGTCCCAAGAGTCCCGATGCGATCAGGACAGACATACTATTTCCCTTCGATGTTGAACCATTTCCTCTCATAATTTGGCTCTACCAATGACGTGTCACAGGAGAATTTCCAACACTGCCTGTTCATGACTAAATTAACTACTGAGATCCTAGGAAGTTTAGGGAAACATACCGTGTTTGTTGATCCAAAGATGGGGATGTTTCAAACAGGTTGGTATCCTGAGAGTACGGTGCCACAAGTTTTGGTTCCGCCCTTGCCGTCGCTGATGATCGCGCTGCAGGTGGTAGCGTATGTCTGGTTGTTGTACCCACAGGAAGGACAATTCTTCATGTCAACTGGGACACTCTGTTTGTCGGTGATTGCCATGATAACTGATGATTCAAAATCGTAGGGGCTCGAATGCGCGAATCAATGGTTTGAACGTTGGGCGTTGTACTGTGTTCTTTTTCTCTTCAATTGGGGATGTCAGAATCGTTTCAAGTTCGCAGTCAGGAGAGATGTTGGGCCTATGTTCTAGCAGTCATTCACAACCGGATTTTGCTGGTTTAAATATTTTCAATCTAATGCACGGTCCCCTCTGATAATGTCTAGAAGATGGGTCTCTGACATTTGATCAATGGAAACATCTATCGTATACTCGACGCAAAGTGAGACTCCAATGTGCATACATTGACAATCATCATCAGGGACTAATCACAAGCAAGGCCGATGCCCCATGCAGCTAATGCAAGCCCTGGCGCTAGTCCAGTTTGTAGCCAATGAAAGTGTCAATTAAAGTCTCCCAAAATCATTTAGGAGGGGATTAGCTCTGAAAATCGTGTTTGAAAAGGACCAAGAGCGAACTTATTGCTAGCATGATTTGGGGTCAGATGCCGCATTCTCCTGCCGCCGAGGACAGCCCATGCACGTAGTAGCGCCGGTCCCAATGTGCACAGCCTATGGACTTGGAGGCTAGACTTTTTGGTAGCCAATGATGACGTATTATCAAGATGTATCCCAGGAGCTTTGGTCGTAGATATCGTGTTGCGAAAGGACGCCACCTAAGTTCAGGTTACTTAACTTACTTAGTCACAAAAGAAACAATTAATAATCCTCAGTCGCTTTTAAATTTAAAAGCTTCTGCGCAGCGTTCTCAATATTATCTCATTTCATCTCATCTCAACTCATCTCAACTCATCTCAACTCATCTCAACTCATCTCAACTCGTCTCGTCTCATCTCGCCTCATCTCATCGCTTGGCATCGCATCGCATTTTGCCTCATCTTATCAGACACAGGCTTTTGGTCTAGGATCATGGCCTCTACTGCATACGACGCGTTCATTCACAAGATATTCGCTAAAGTCACTCAGCTCCAATCGAGGGGTCTGTATACGGAGGATCGGAATACCATCAAAGGAAATCGCCTCAATCTCATTTGGCTTGAACCTACTGGTGACTCCGTTCCAAAACAGACAAGATGGCGACAAAACCGTGCGCGTGACAAGTATAGGGAGATCCAGGAAGCCAGCAGTCATTTATTTCTTGCGGTGTTTTTAACTATTCCACCCAGTATCTGCTTCAGTTCTGAGTTCCAGTCAGTGATCAATTACCTGGTTGGCCTTGATAATTACGAAGATTTCAGATTCTCGCTGAGCCTCAAAGAAAAGGAGCTTTTTGAATCGGCAGCAGCGGAACAAGGCTACGCTGGAAGCACACTGTATCTCAGGTTTATGCAAGTCATGTTTCCTGAAGTAGAACGCAGACGTAAGTACCACGCTAAATAACCATTGGTCTTACTAATTCGTCCTTCGCAGAAATTCAATATGCATACGGACTGGTCGCTCGCGACGACCTCGGATCATTATTCCACGCAATTGAACAAGGGACTTATAACAGCAAACAGTGGGATCAAGAAAAAGCTCAGGGGGGCAGTAAGACCGGTTGTTTGACCATTCTTATACCAACGAATCAAGACCAAGATGGTTCTTGCACCATCAGAGTGGAACGAAAAACATTGATACAGTCAATTAAAAAGTTCAAATTGACCAAGCTCAAGCTCGAGTGAATTTGATCCAACAGCCGCCCAATACCTCAAAGCTTGCACCGGGAGGGATAGAAAATGTGCGTTCTTTGTCTTTGATGGTATATCCTTCCTCTCCGCCATCGATCCTTACAAATCCAACTGAGTCCTCCCTGTTTGATTTTGAGTCCTCGCTGCTTGATTTGAAAGTGATCTTTTTATTCTCAGCCTTTCCCGGAAAAAACCCATCTGCTAACTTCCATTCATCGTATGTTGTCTTTATCATGGCTGCTATTAGTATTTAAACAAGTATGCTGGGTGAGAGTAACTTACTGGCTCCGGATCCATTTCATCTGCCATTTCTTTATCACTCAATTTTGGAGCCCTTTGATCGATCTTGAAATTGGATCCCATACAATGTACCACAGCTCTGACCGGTTGGTGATGGATTCGCGTAGGAGCGATCTGCCGCTATGTAGAGAAACTTCAGCTTTAAAAATTTCTGCGAATAGGCTTCGCCTCTTTACAGAGGCCATGGGTCATAACCAGCATTCTTTCTCCCAAATACTAACCTGCTATGGTATGTGTAGTGATTCGAACACTGCCGAGGTTCGTTCTTGGGACTATCGGATCTGTATTTGGCAGACACCAAAGCGGGGTGTAAGTAGTCGCAACGACAGATATGGATGTTGATTTACCGATCCTGTCGAATAAAGGTATCTTCAAGATATCAGCCAAAACGCATTGCTCAAAGCCCCAACAAAAAGCCATACCTGGATTCCCGACCGCAAAGGAAAAGACCAGAATGAGCGTATCGTTTCATGCCCGACGGAAAGAAGTAAGATGTCTAACATCATGTGACTCTCGGGAGATTGTAAGTCCGCGGCCATGACACTGGACACCTAGAGCTCGCCAAACGCGGGATTGGGTCGGGCTTTCGCTTGTTAGGACTTACCCGCGCGGTTTTCGTCTTTAAGAACCCGCCTTTGGGCTCTTGGTGAGTACTACTAGGCTGTGCATTTTAGAAACCAGAGTCTCAGAATGTAAAAAAGAGTACAGGACTCGTTTCGACCTCTTGACATCCTCTACTTCTCTCGCAAGCTATTGCGACCAAGAGTAAAACATACAGCAATCGTCTTACTAGAACAGGGGAAGATTCTGGGGCTTATCCAAGCGTGTGATACAGCCATTCTTTTCTCTTTTCATTCATTGCCATTTCTTATTACGAAGTATTCCCTTTCTCGTTGGTAACACAAATTTCATTCCTTTGTGTACATCAAGGAAAGAAAGTCTACCTAGGGATGCAAAATCACTTGTAGTTCGTCCCCAATGTATGGTCATTCATGTCAGGAGCGCGGGAGAAGGTCTTCACTTTGGGTAAGGGAGCGGATTATACGTATGATGAGGCGCTTGAGAACATGAGACACCTGAAGCAAATGTATTCTGGAGGGAAAGACCATGTAAGATAACGCTTGTTACATTGGGCGATTGTACAGAACAACCAATCGAATTTTAGCTTTTCTCAACGCCCATATCCGAACGATTGATCCTGAAGTGCCACTTATTTTAAAATAGTGATCGTTGCCCAAAACATACCACAATGATGTTAAACCTCTAAGTATAAACTTTCAAGACCATTGAGGACAAGAAGTAGCACGCCTCTCAGGAAACGACTGAGTTCCTGCTCAATTTGTTGTAAGGCACAAGAGCTGTGTCCTGGGGTATGCAATCTTGCAAAGCGTGTGCAGTTGCTCAAACGGACGAGATAAAAACTGAAGAAGCCCACTGGTGATTGATGCGCCCAGCGGGTCAAAGTGCCAAGTGAGAAGTGACAGCATTTCTTGAGCTCTGTCTGTAAATGTAAAACAATTGCTTTCGTATGGTCTTTAAGTGCCTGGTTGTCGGCCAAAGCTTGGAGTGTTTTCTCGTCAGGGTTATTTTCTTTGAGGTCTTGGCAAATGGCGATTAGATGAAAAATCCGAGAATTGGATTCAGGCGACACTGTTTCGTTTGCTAGCCCCATTTCGCTTAAATAAACTGCATAGAAGGCTTTCAATGCAGTTTGAGCCGCGAAAGTTAGCGGGGTGTTCTTAAGATGTTAGCACCTAGTCGTGGAAAATGATTGGAAGCCTTACCTGAGGAGAAGATTTTTCCACCGTCATGGTAGGCATAATTTAGTGTAGAGAAAGAAGCGTTAGAGATGGCAGTAATTGAGAGTAGACGCAATGGGGACTTCTGCGCATTTGTACATCACCTGTAGTAAGCCTGGAATCTTGAACTATTTGAAATACTATTTATAGCTTGCATCCAATTAGTTGGAGTTCAATCATTAGATTGGATTGAGAAGTCCCAAATTGCCCACGAGAAGACCAGACACCCCTGTTAGCTCTGCAATAGCGCCAGTAGTAACAAGGTCGTTGCAGAGATGAGATGAGATGAGATGAGATGAGATGAGATGAGATGAGATGAGATGAGATGAGATGAGCACGATCATGCTGCAGGGCTCGCCGCCTGATCTTAATTTAATTCGCCCGATCTATGAGCCTAGCTATGATTGGACACCCGTAGCTAGTCATGTGGTGCTGAGCTGATCAGCTGGGACTTGATAGATGTAAGATCTCTGAATCACAAGTGCGCAAGGATCGCCATGATGGACATATAATCCTTGGCACCAAAATTTGGCTCTGACCTTCTTCAAACAGCAAATCAGGACAAAGGAAAAATTGGCAGACACAAAGTGCACTGTTTAGAGATTGCGGTTTGAGCATTACAAAACCTCGTGGGGAGAGATGGCCAGAACGGGCATTGGAAGGACGCTCCTGTAGGATGGGGCCTGCAGGACCCGGCCTTCGAAGTGTTTAGCTAAGTGTTTCCTGAAGACGACGCTTTTGACAGCCCCGGATCCTAGATAGTCTTTTCATGCAACTGAGTTCGAAGATTTTGGCAACGCAAATACTTGAATCTCACTTTTGGAGAGTATAAGAGCAATTGTAAACTTGTATCTGTGTTGGGTCGGCGATCAAATCAAGGGCCAAATTCGGTTGAGGCAGAGCTCTCTCAAGAGTATGGGACCAGAACCCTCGTCAAAGATCGTGCAGGAGTGCTACCCTGAATAGTCACAGCTCTTCTAGGTATCGACCAATGCTTTCCCTTTGGGAAGATTCATTGGCGAGGCGGCCTTTGCCAATAAAAAGAGGCCCTCGTCTACTTACCGACTAGACATGGCAGGCTCAGCGAATGGAGCTAAGCCGACAGATATTTGTGTATAAGAGGTGCGTCAGCCTCTAAAATAATGATGCCTTCCTGTGAAGGTTCACTTGAAATTTTCTATATTCAAAGCAATCTGCGGAAAGGATCTTGAAATCCTGTCTTTCCAGCCTCTGATGTCTCATCTTCAGATTGTGCATAATTTAATGAGGGAAATACTTGAAACGGCGAAGAAGAAGTTTATTTGCCCATTATGTCTCATTTCATATTCTCGAGCCGATGCTGCTTTCGGACACTGTCGAAAGAAGGGAGAGGAGAAGAGGGATATGAACGAGCGGGAGAGAATGAGGCGCAAGATACATAGGGAAATTGGATCCGTGAACACTGGAGGGGGCTTCCGTGAGTTTCGAGAGCCTCTGGCTATCGCCTGTGGACGGAAAGAGATCACCGTCGAAGGGCTAGGGCTAGATTTCAGTCAACCAAATCGTCGACCATACGGCTCCTGTCTTGGACGCGACTTTATTCTGAAGATGATGAGTGACGAACTTGCAGCAAAAACTGATATATTGAGGAACATCATCGGTATTGCCGGAATTCACTATGTTTGTCCTTGCTGCTGGAGCGGATTCGCCACCTCCGCCAACGTGCTGGAGCATTGTGGTAAAGAGAAAGATGAATATCATCAAGGCCTTCTCTCGAAGAAAGTGGCACCTTTCGTTGAAATTTATGGGGAGCTCATGGGACGGAGCATCGATTTTACTACTTTGGATATTGATTATGATGGTCATGGGGTCCCCGATTTCCATCGGTGCTTTGAAATCGACGAAGTCCTAAGACAAAAAAGTCAGTTGGGATACCATTAGGCGTGGAGAAAGCAGTGTCTAACATAGTCCACCAGGCTGGTATCATGGAAGACTGGAGTACACAAAAGGTATGGGCTATGGCCTCGGGCATATTCTTTTCTACGATTTGGATGGATATTTATATCTATCACGAAAGAAAAATTAAACTTTGCAGCTCAATATCTGAACGGGTTCAACTTTACTAAAATTATACTATAAAGGCATCCAAAGCGCTTACAACATAAACTAATGAAGAGCGAGGCCTGTTTCATAGCAAAGAGCTTCCTCTCACGGAAAGCGCACAACATCGAGTTTGCTTATTTTGTTCTTGGGTCGAAAGAAAGAATGTTAAACAAAAAATAGTTCGGACAGCCAAGCAAAAGGGTTGTAGAAGCCGGCGGCCGTGTATTTCCATGTCGCCAGTGAGACTGCTTGATGTCCTGCGCCGTTAAAATAGCACTGATTCCTCGAATTTTCTTATTGGGTAGAAAGGAACGAACCTCGTGCTGTACCGTGCTAGGGATGTCCGATTTAACCAACCAAATGAAGCGAATCACTGTAGCAATGGCATTTTGGTACTACAATGCCAAATTGGCGGGAACCGATGTTGAACGAAAGACAGCGTACTTTTCCACTAGACCATAACAAAAACCAAGGTTCCTGTTTATGGCCTAGGGAGGCCGCATTTGAGGTTTGACGACCGATCCTCAACACTACAAGAAGCGCGTTCATTGGTTGGGGCTGACTGCCCCACCTACTTTTGTGACATGGTGTTTGGAAAGATCATGTATTAAAACAAGGGGTGCCGATCAAGACCGGTATGGAAAAGCAAATACAAGTACATAAGATTCTAGACCGATATCTACATGACACGAACTCCCAGCCGTAATCAAAAAGACCTCTCCAGCGATGCTCCGCATGGTCCGACCGGGATTCATCCGCCAAAGAATTGGCTTTTTAGTGGAGTCGCAGATGACGAACCTAGTACTTTGTCGATCATGCACGTGCAAGGGTTGATGCAAGCGATGCACTTGTTGGCGCGCCCAAGTCAGCTGCAAGTTAGTATATAATATTTCTGACGACAAGGTTTCCAGTCCTATCTTCATCAGGATGGCTGTCAATCCGGAGCATGTGGGCTCAATTGTCGATGTGAAGCCTCAGTATGAAACTGAAAATCGTCAAGGTACGCTTGACCATTGAATCCACCAATGTGTTCCACGAAACATCCAAACATTGCAGCTAATCATGAATCCACTTAGAGCTTACCCATTCGGCTTCCTTTTGGAGCACTTCAACACAAGTCGACCCCTCAGCTACCGGTGCACAGGATGACGGATGCGATGCGGTTTGGGGCACACAGCCTCCGAATTGTATATGGAGGAAACATGAAGCCACAGGGTTGTTCGTGGGACATGATAGTGTTTCTTTCGATCGACTTTGCATGTTGAGTTTCTTGAGAAAGACCTCCCACGCACAAAAATACCTACAACCTCTCTGTGAGAGGTGGACATTTGATCCAGCAATTATTAAAAAGGGCTTGTACACCTCAGTGGCGAGCAGCTTGGAAGGGCAAAGCTTGAAAAAAATCAAGTTTCTCGCTTTCGATGCTTTGACACAGCAAGCGCTGGGGATCACTGTGCCAGAGATTTTGGATTTCCGTTTGACGTACCAATGGCTCAATGCAAGAATCTACTACTACTTCATTAAGCGACGCCGCCATACTCAGCACTTGGTCAAAATTAAAGAAGTATGCTCTCCAAAGATACCTCATTCCCCGGTACCCAAAAAGAGACTAATGCATGGTAGGAGCTGGACATCTTGGATGCTGATCCTTTCATATGCGCTGTGATCCAGAACGCATATGAATGTGTTGTTGCAGGGCAATTAAAAGATGCAGATTTGGATTTGCCGCTTCGCTTCTTCATCACCGAGCCCCTGAAAGGGCTATTCCAAAAGCATGAGTCCACTGAAGTCATCCTGCAACAATTGAAGTTGCTGAAGTCTCGTTTTGCCAGCTTCTGTGACAATGCCCTCAGAAATTGGAATGAACCGTTCGACACCAATACAGAATTTTTCGACGAGTTTCGATCTCTAGGGCCTGTAGCCCTTGCGAGGTCTTTGTCTGAAACGGTTCATGCGTCCTATCGGAAGCTCAATATTAATTCATTCAAAGGAGAACGTCAAGCCTTACAGAACCTGAATGATATCAGCAACCGTTTATGTTGCTCAGTGAAGGAATGTTCAGACGCTGGAGTCATAAGTGCCTCAGAACTGCTTCAACTTTCCCAAGTAAGTCGGTAAAAATTGGCTTCTGAAATCATCACTCTAACAAATTACTGTAGGAGCTCTGTTGTCTTCGTAATTTCTTTTCTATGAGAGCTGTTCGCGACGGCATGAAATTGAGCGGCTCTTTAAAAAAGACTGTGCAACAAGTTGATAGCCTTGTCAACATACAGCAAGAGCTCAATGGCTCGACTCCTGCGTTATATTCAGTCTTTCAAGCGGGGAAGCAAGCAGCGCAAGGGGACTTGTCACTTGCTGAAACACTCATTAAGATGTGTTCGTCCTACTCGGTCGAAAGCTCTACATCGGCGGGCAACAAAGCTCCATCTCTCAAACTCATGCGGCCTATTGATGATAAAAAGCCATCGAAGCGGAAGAAGAAAGAGCATATCCGAGCCCCTTCTGTTACGGTGTTTGGGATATATTTTCAGAGCAACAGCCCTCAAGGAACAACCAGATGAAGTACAGCCCCACGACCCTAGCAAGCACTGTCGGGGAGAATAAATGTCTACATTCCCCTCGAGGTTTAAAATTGCAAGTACGGAAATGGCTTTTGAGGGCTCAATGTTTCTGTGTGGGGTGATGATTAGTTTGTTGGACACGGAGGCGGTATCACATTGGCGGAAATTTTCGAAAAATGGGCATGCTTACACTATTGCGAACTTCACTACTTTGTAGCTTTTGATGCAAATACAATGATAGTATGCATGCAGGTAAAACAGTATTCAATTTGGATGGACGGGGAGAGAGAGAAGGTGAGAGTGGAAGGAAGACTATCTAGTTGGTCTATCCTACATGTGATGCCTGAGGCATCCAACAGTAAGTGAATCAACTATGAAATAGTCGCTGTACATACGAGCGGGGGTTTACTCAGGTGAGACAAACATGGACCATCCTGCAAAATTGAGACGGTCTACTTTAGAGTGGTTTTGCTGGGTTGATCCACAGCACCCTTTCCTGCGTAGATCTGGTCACCTATTACTGTTGAGACAAGGAAGCCAGGGCCCGCCATCCTCGACTATAAAGAGACGGAAGTCAGAGTGCCTTCTTCAAACTTGCATTCCTTACGATTCATAATGCCTCTCCCTACCATAGGCACCCCCGTGACTCAGCCCGAGTCAAGACGGTCTGTGAAAAGAAGACGTGGCTCTGCAGGTCTAGATGAGCCTGGATCTCCTAGGCCAGGCGAAATCAGGTAGAGAATGAGTCCTGGGGTACATGTGGAGTTGGAAAAGATCAAGGTTACCTCTGCGAGCTTCCGGTTCAGACAGATCTAATACAAATCTAGACATTCTCGGTCACCGAGGCCAACTTGCTGACCAACGAGATTAAGCAGTTGCTGCACGCAGATCCAGCTCGGGCTTCCCAGACTATACATGTTGTGGAACTCTATCAGTGCCTGTGAGATTGCTATATCATGGAGTATGCCAGTAAAGTACGCGTGGAGGAAGAGCATCACTCAATCCAAGTCTCGAACGCATGGCTAATGGGGGAGAACGAACATCTCCGACAGGTCTGTAGTTTTTAGCAATCGCTGCTGTGGGAAAACCATCAAAACTTCTGTTCGGTACACCAGGGAATACTTGGAATCCTCCAAAGCTGTCATAGAGATTGTTGCCAGATGAGTGAGTATTTGGATTTCCTGACGCAAACACAGTCTGCGTCGATTGGCCAGCAGAAAGACCAGGGGGGTAAAGGTGGCCGGTGATGATTGAATCTGATGTGTTTCTTTTCAAGGAAGCCGGACCGTGTTCCCGTGATTGAGATGATCACACCAGTTGGGATGATTCAGCGGCGTTGATTTGGTAGGGCTGAGTTCATTCATTTGACCACTTGGCTCCGACGCAATCCATACGCCTTGTCGCACTACGTAGATCAGACATACACAATCCGTTTCGAGTGAGCTTGTCAACCGGCCACTATATTTTCAATCTAAGCTTAATATAGATCAATCAACATACGCAAGCTGATGTATATTGCAAGAGGAGCACTCTTTAGCCTTACCTACATACGTGCAAGTAAGCTGGGCTTATTTTTAGTGTGTTTTGCTCTCTGTTGAAGCTTTTGTTATTGCGGGGTATCATTGAATTTCATTTCTGGCGATCGCCCTCAGCGCTTCACCCTCAGCATAATCGGCGAGAATTACAAATACTGAGGCTTGGCCCATGTTTTGGCTTTGTGCGTTTTGGAACGAGGTAAGTAGAGATGCAATCCTTTGCTGGTAACACAATCTCTCACGTTTAGCAACGATTTCTGGGAAAGACGCAACAGCGTCTTTGCATGATCTTGGTAGAGCGCCTCGTCGAGTCACCAGTGATGACGTAGTCTGTGTCCAACAGACTTAACTAACAGTCTAGTGTAAATATATATGCGCTTTCATAATTGTGCGACCTTGAGCGTCAGGTCAATAGTGCCGTGTGAATTTGCTCGAAGCCCTCCCCGTACGAAGGTCATCGCAGCAGTGACTGGATGTTTCCATTGCACTGTGGATTATGTAACAAATCCCGAAAGTAGCCGTAAGCAGAGGAATAGAAAGAGAATTCGTGCTCAACTTCAACTAAATCTCCGGGATGTTGTCCTCCGTTCCCCAGGAATACCACAGAACAAGATACTGCGACACTTGGCGACCATCGCGAAATATGTTCCTTCGTCCCATTGTTCTTATGGAGACCAGACGAGAGACGGTTTCCTAGATATTAGCAGCGAGATGATACGTTACATTGCAAGAGACATACGTACCAGAGATCCCCTGCCGGTAGATTTGATCAGGGCGGATCGTGCTCTTGCTCACTGAGCATGATCGTGGTTTCTCTTTTCCTGAAAACCTGGGGGCGTATTGGGTGCTGCACGTGATCTGGATGCCAGATAGGTTGGTTGGCTCTCGATGGCCCATTGGTGGTAGTAGTCCCCACATGTGATTGGTGATTAGCATGTCCGTAACAAAAGGGTCGACTTAGTGGACAACCTCAAAAATAAAGCATTAACCCTATAGTATCGCATTTCGTTGAGGCGCTTTGTTCAGCGCCTACAGCAGCAAATCCATTGGTGTAAATCAAATGCTGTGCCCATCCCCAATCCACCCGCCTCGGTGTCATGCCCAAGCGCCAATACTATATGTTGAACGAAATACAGCGTAATTTCCACTAGACCATAACAAAAACCAAGGTTCCTGTTTATGGCCTAGGTAGGCCGTATTTGAGGTTTGACACTATATAATGGAAAGTGTTGTGCATTTTACATTTCTCATTGGCTGAAACTCCCGATTTCGCAGAAATACAAGATTTTTAGCCAAAATAAATGTGATTAACAATCTAGTGGGACCTGGCTAACCGCCGGACTGAGGAGCATCAATCTTCGGACGCCTAGTCGACGGGTAAGGCAATGGGCGCCTCATGAAACGACTTATGCTAATTTTTATTCAAACAATTAACATGGGCCTCCATTTCAGATCCATGGTTTTTTAAAGGACGCGTTTTCCTCAACTTCCTTCATAGCCTATCTGTGTTCTTTCGCCCGCAAGATCTAATTTGTACAGAGTGTACAATTTCTCTCAAATTCTGTTAGTTCTGTATTGTTGTTTCATTGTTAGTTTGGCCTTTCTCACTTCTCTCTTTAGTCTTGCCTCGTTATCTATGTCTGGTTTTCAGCCTGTTCACTATGTGCCTGCCAGTCGACAGGCTCAAATGTTGGCTATGCCAGTGAAGCGCATCCTCGCCGTTCCACATCGGAAGGCAGGGGGTACTAATCACTGGTGCCTCTATCTTTCGTCATCCTCCACAAGCTCGGTACGAATTGATTGTCAGCCAAGCCACACTGTTCCGAGCTCGGTCCTTCGGGGAGGCTCCAAGGCCAACCTCATCATCTCAGAATTACCTTACGAAATATCTACCGATGCCCAGGCCCAATTTGTTCTCGATGTTGCCCCTGGACTATCAGTGGGGCAAGTTTGGGGGGAAATTACTCGATATGGATGGGCGTCATAAATACGAATTCGATGCAAATGGAGTTGGGTGCAGATTCTGGACTACTAATCAGATTAATCTTTTATACCAACTTCGATTTGTCGGTAACGCATCCCAGGTTGCGGCGGCAAAAGCAGGAATTCTCAAGCTGTGGCCAGATCAGTCACCACTTCCCCTTGATCAGGGGGCTTACTACCAATGAGCCTCACCTTTTCTCTTTCCCACTTTCCTTACTTCTTTGTTGTCTTTCGGGCCACCAGATCTTTCCTTGCTATCTTGCACACTTTTCATCACTATGCATGGTCCTTTTGACTCATTTTTGTGCCCACCATTATTTCGCGGCCTCCTTTCTCTTGAATTTACGTCAGGCTTCACCACCCACAACAAACTGTCATTACGTACCGCTGAATTATTGAACTCCTTACCGTGAAAATTAGGCATGGTAGTAAAGCACTTAGCATCGATGGACTAGATAAGCGAGATAGAGACTATTCTTCATGCACGTTGAGGGTTATTTCCTCCTACGAGTGATCTAACTATTTTTTTTCCTCCCCTTTGGATACAAGGAGGTATAGAGCGTGCGAAGAGCATGAGCAAGTTGATGCGAGCTAGTAAGAGGATTTTAGCATTGAGCAAATTTTTAATGTCATTGTTGTCCAGCTGAATTTCCAGTCCAATTTCCTTTAACGGGCTAATTGTAATAAGGTTCACCGTGACGTGTGTAGTCTGTTTCCATTGAAGCCTTCCTTAGGCCAATGCAGCGGTGGTTAATGCATATGCAATAGTATCAAGTTGCATTTCCTCCTCAGGGTAACGTGGAATAAGGGACAACACCGCTTCATTGAAATAAGTGAAAAATGGCTGGATTGACAATGCCGCGCTTTCAAAGACAGGAGGATATGCACCAGAATAAGCCCAGTCAATCAACCACACTTTTTCATGTTGATCTAGGATCAGGTTTCGAGGACTTATGTCGTTGTGTGTAAGCACAAACTTGGTAAAATGGAATGGCGGAATGTCTTTTGGGGCTTGATGGACGCTTTTGCAGATATCTAGCTTGTGGTTAAACCAAGCTTCCATTTCAGCAGTGTCCATAAAAGGCCCAGCACTATAATCTGTGAAGAACCGACCCCGACTTGGTCCTCCACCAATGGGTCCAGGCTGTAAAAGCTCAATAGACTGCATCTCTTGGATTATTTCAGCAACCTGCGCAGCGATTTTCCCTTGAGTGTCACGGGATAGGCTGTTCCAGCTCTCATCCAGTGGTTGACCTGGGATAAAATCCATCACAATATACCCAGATGTACCAAAATATTTTGTATCATCTTTGACCTGAAATGAGCGATAGACTCTTGGGGCTCGAATGGTGGTTCTGAAAGCAATGAGACGGAGGATTTCCGCTTCACTGGCCATGACACTCCCGCCACCCTTCATGATCAAGGTCTTCGAAAGCCGCACAACTGTGGTACCACCTAGCTGGTGAAGGATAGGAGAAGATGTGAGAAGGGTTGCCAGAGCCTCATCTGTGACAGAGTTAAGGTCCTTTCCATCTAGTGGAAAAAATCCATCAGGGTCACGACTTTGTGGCTTACCGTAGAGATGTCAGTAAATGGTATTCAACAGACCATGGAAAATATACATGGGCTGTTTGGGCGTATAGATAATCCCATGTCAGTGAGATAGATGGCAATGAATGTGGGGTTTATTGCACAGGGACAACCTCTTTCAAGGGCTATACAGGATTATAAAGAAACCCCGGGTAGAGGTTTTTCCGAACCAACCATCTTATCCGTTGGCATTACCCGTAGCGTGCTGCCTACAAGAGCTCACGACCACCGGAATTGCCAACTAGCCGGGAGGGCTTTGACTTGCCACTCAGAGCCAATCGTTTTACAGACTGAAACGTGCTGACGGAACTCCCGTTGTCATGGCTCTCGAAATTAGTGGAGACAAACAAGCCAATGAAAACTATTAAACACCACCATCCTTCACTTGCTGCTAAACTAGTGATCATCCGGGCTCACAGTAGTACAGACAGGCTTGCCCCAACGAGGCGACCATATTCTGGGCTACACATAGCTACACATGAGTTCACGAAATATACATGCATTGGGTCGTATTCTCTACCTGAAGGACGGTGTTTAAACCTCCTTTCACCCTTTTTGCGCCCTCTGTTTTGAACCCTCTAATAAAATTGCTGGTTCACCGCCCACCATTTTCTTTGTCTCGCTGACCCTCAGTTGAACTCACAACTAAAAGGACAGTCCTTTCAGAACCGGTGCATATAGTCCCAATACAGTTGAATTTTTTTTCTTAATGATCCGAGTATTAACAACATCTATGACTCGCAAAAATTGAGGGTGGAGGACTAGTGGGGCTATGGGAGGCTCTTTCCTGGACCCACTGTCAAGGCCTTAGCGTAGATCAATCATTGACCTGGCCGCATTGAAATGTGGGACACCGTAAAATGCATTTTGTATGGTAACCGTGCCAAGCGCCCAACCACCCATCAACTACCCAGTACACCAAAAAAGTGGTTAAATCAGGGTTTCGAAGGTTGCATTACACAATAGCTTCGAAAGCAACGGCGCTCATAGCCTGAGAGAGATGATGTTCAGTCTACAAATGAAGCTGTAGATGAAACTGGAGATCTCTGGATGCGTTGAGATAGAGAGAAACTATCTACATGCTATGACTGAGACTAAGTACTGGGAGCAAACAGTGGTGGTCACGTGACCTTCCAACAATTTTCCTAAGATCTTGTGGTTCGTTGGTGAGTTAGAGCTCGCAGAGAGCCTGAATTCGAACAGAACAGATGAGATTCTGTAAGGATCGCATGGTTTCTATCGGGTAGTGCTAGCTAGGCCACATGACTAAGTGAATGTAACGCCTTGAGCCGTAGTATCTTCAGGCACCCTGGCTAATGCCTGAGGCCAACAATAAGTACAAATTTTGCAAACTCTTCGGGACACATAACCTGACATTAAATCACGTGATAAACTACTCTTTTGCGCGAGAATTGCGACGAGGTCTTCGCCACTACAACATCACCGACAACCGCCGCGTTTCAAATGGCTTTTATACTCTTGTCGCAGACACTACGACGATTCCTATCAGTATGTTATAGTCTCAAGGACTGGATAGAGATTGCGTTGATTTCTCCTTTGTCACGTCTGATCCACTGGCCCACTTGTCACGATATTGAAGCGGTATAAGTCAAGCCCGTCCCTTTCTATCGCAAGAGCTTCCTGGCCAACTTAAATAGGGACCTCAATACGATAACGAAGCAAATGAATTTAGACACGGAAAGGTCGAAACCATCAGCAGAGATGCTCAAGGACAATTTATCTCTGGTGGGCTAACTGGGATTGTGGAACTCCTTGGTGATGGTACCGTCCTCAAATCGCCATTTCCTGACGCTGAAATGGAAAACCACATCCTGGATATTGCCAAAGAAGCCAGTATCTATCATCGCGTTGGCCCGCACGAAAGGCTGGTACGGATATTGGATCACTCCAGGGATGGCCTTATTCTTGAGTATATGAAAAACGGTGACCTCAAAACCTATCTTCAAGCCCAAGATTTGATACCGATGAGCCTGAAGTTGAAATGGGCATACCAAATTGCGCAAGCCGTCTCTCTCCTACATAGTAACGGCATAATCCACTGCGACATCAAACCGCGAAATTTCCTATTGGACGCGACTCTCAATATCAAAATCATTGACTTCTCTGGCTCTTCGCTAGACGGGTCTAAACCGGCCTCTGGTGAGGGAACTCGATTCTATCTCCCACGACATTGGAGAGACCCACCTACCGTGGCTACAGATCTGTTTGCGCTCGGGTCGACTCTTTACGAGGTTTTTCAAGGAACTAGTCCCTACGAGGAGATCCCTAGCGATCAAGTGGAAGAACGCTTTAAGAGAAAGGAGTTCCCTAATGTTTCCGCTATTCCATACGGACAGATCATCAAGCAGTGTTGGTTGTCCCAAGTCGATTCAGCCGAACATGTGCAGGCTTTCATGCGAGACATAATTCGCAGCAAGCTCAACGCCGACTATATCCCTCATCTCGATGGTTTGGACATTGCTCGGGGTATGTTGATTGACCAAGTGGGGTCTCCTTAGGATCGGGACAGTCGATGCCGGTTTGTCTTGCTCTAAGACATCGATTGAAAGTTCTGGTCGTCGTGTCGCATGATGCTGGACAGCCGCGATAATGCTTGGTGGAGATAAGATATTCACACATCCTAGAAGCTGTGTTTTGCTCCTTTTTGATGGGGTACAAACTTTGATTGCACTATTTCGTCGCTAGATAGCAGGGCGGTAAAGGATGGCGCTGATGTCTGCGCAGATATTCTATTGAGGTAGCCGTTATTTATACTAAAGCGCCTGCCGTCTGGATGGGCGTTTAAAAGCGGGGTATTACTGCCTGGTAAGACGCCAACGATATGCCAGCAAATTATTCCCTTGGGTTTTCCGCCGGGGGAAAGAGCGGGGCGCTAAATCACGTCACATACGTTCAAACGAGGAAGGGTAGCTGCAGTCATCACACATGACACGCCACTCTGCTTCCTCTGCTTGCATGCACGAACCACTTCCGCGCAGGCCCTGCCAGTAGGCGCAAAAAAAGACCTTGTACGATGTCTCGTGTCACGGTGCGAACCGTGATGCTTAGTAAGAGGAAGATCATGGCACGTGATCTCTGACCTGTTTTTCTGAACTTCAGTTCTAGATCCTGTTGTAGCTCTTGGAGCTACGTCTTGTATAATAGCATGCCCCTGCCTGTACCTGTCAATGGGAATCTGATCTGTTATGACCTGTTCCTACCAGTCATCTCCTATCATACCGTCCTGCCAGCCCGCACCCGGACACATATCCTCTCTCTAAGAGCAGGGGTAGGCTCAGATCGAGCAGGCATTACTGGCAGCCTATAAAATAGGAATATTATAGTGGTATAGAGAGCAGAGAGAGGTAGAAAAACGCGAGATATACGCGCCATGGGCGAGCTTCACTAGCGCGTGATATAGAGCGGTGTATACTATAATGGAGGGCGGTATTTGGGTGGGGCCAAAGGGGTGTTAAAACTTTTGCGTAGTGACTGTACATGTGGCCAAGAGTCAGGTGATGAGGGTGTCATTTACTATGCGGATACCATGTTAAATTACACAAATGATGACAAATGGTTGGCCAAGAAAGGCCATACCTTAAAAGGACTAAAGGTGTGCAGATAGTAAAGAATGGCGCCAAGGGGTGTGCATATAGTCATTCTCTTTTCTGACATGCAATCTATTTAAGGCAAGACCAGCGGAATTAAACTTGTGAATCACAGTGAAGGGGCTACAATCATAATTTCCAAGATGGTATTTTTGCAGAATGCTCTAGTAGCAATAGGTGATTATTAGTGTGGCTCTCAAGACCAATTGTCTAGAGTCTACCCAAGAGGACACATTGATAGCAATAGCACAGGCACATGGCATTACAAGCAGTCGTATCTATATAGAAATCATGACCCTGGATATCAGCTCATTTTAGAAGATTATTTACACGTCCTTATGGTACATACAAGTGCTATCTGAACGTCTCTGGCAAATATGTACCGAACATGAGAGCAGGTGATAATTGACCTCAAATGGGGCTCGATCTTCGCCTTTCTGTCACTTCCTATCTCCAATCTGAGCTCATATAAACCCTTACAATGATAATAGTATGGTTTTATGGCCCTCGTTTAAGTGATGTTTGCTGAATGAAAACCAAATTCAATGGGTACTTGCTTGGTCAAGTCGGAAGTCATAGGCGTTGAAGACATGACAGCTTGAGTTGCTTTACCACAGGATCCATCTATCAACACAAATCAATTCTAATAAATGTCATTGTCGTTGTCAGTTGAGCCGGAGAGACATTATGCACCTTATATTAAATCATATCCTAGGTAACAAAAAGTGTTTACAGCCACCTGACCGATGCTAGCGGATAGAATTCAAATGGAACCCTCTCCGGTGGTAAACATATCACTGCCTACAACTATCGCCAACGGCAAGTTCAAAACATCTGATACCAGAAGGGGAAATCAAAAAAGTCTGAGAAGGAGGGAGACACTATTAAAGAAGATTTTCGAGTATTGTACAGAATGTGATGCCGACATCCACTTCGTTCTCCGAATGAAGAAGACAGGCCAACTATACACGTTGACTTCGAACACCAAAGAGTGGCCTCTATCTACAGAACAAATAGTAGGCTGCTCCTCTTGTTTTCACTCGTTAATTCAAGTTTATTGGACGCTCACAGAACAAGGAGTCAAATCACCCTGAGCCGATTCAAATGAAGATGGACGAGCTAGCCATTAAATACCAGGGGCAAAGTCCTCAAGGGGAGCACAGGCCCATGTCTCTGCTGAAGGATTAACAAAAACCTAAACATGAGCCTACTCCATAGATTCTTGATATGTATATTCTGAAACACATCTACCATGAGAGGCACTATATTAAATAACCGCAGATAAGCATCTCATGAGCTTTGTTTCAAATTGGGTTAGGAAGAACCCGGAACTCAAGGAGTCTTACGAAGTGAAAGCGTGGATGCATTTGATCAGCTTCTGGGAGACTTGAACTGTGTTCCTGAGAGCGACTGCGAGGGTATCTCGTATACGTAGAGATGGAAGTGTCTTGTCATGAATAACCAACATGGTGAACAATTATAGTTGACTCTAGATACAGGCTTCCTCGCGTTCAGGGGAACCCATACAATGCACCATGTGGGTCCCGCAGATCATCTCCATTCATCCTGTATGCTTAAAGTATATCCCTGACAGCGACTATTAGCACTCCCAGGAGGCTAAGTGTTCCCAGGATCGCAAACAAGCCTGCTGGAAGCATGCAATAACGCTCCCAGTAATACAGGACACCTCTTCTGGGAGCCAGAATGGCTCTGGGAACTGGC